AAACCAAAAAGAAAACCTCAAGAGAATATTTAGAGAGTGACAAAATAAAACTGCCGTCTAAATGGGTTAACGTCTGAGTATAATGTTCTCTAATACCACAAGTGTTATAGGGATTATTTTCTCCCAGTGGTGGATCTGGAGGTTTGTGAAGAAGGACAGAGTTGTCCTGCAACTCAAGGCCGAGAAAATGGGACAGCACACCTATACTGTAGGTCTGCTCATTTATAATAAGAAAATGTAGAATCTGAAGGTGTTTGTACATGTTTCTTATATGACACACATTTTTATAAATACATTACACATTAGTATATGGCACTGTCATGCATCTTAAGCTAATGAAAGTTTCTGTCCTGACATTAGCAGGTGTTTCTGGAGCTTACAACCACACAATCATGGGACGACCATGGCTGGCACAAGGAACTAAATCTTTATTGTTATATGGCTTAAAACGTGGAGGTTTTCTTTTCTTTTCTTTCTTTTTTGTGCGTTGGCATTTTGGACAGACATGTTGATGACGCATTTTGTGATGATGACTCCTCCATCCTCTGCACTCCTGCGCTGCTCTGCTTTCACATGGCCTAATTTGTTTATCAACAGTTTACAGTATGTGATCTGTGTATGTAAAGGTCAGATACAAAACGATCTCCTGAGTTTCTTCAATGACCTTTAGTGTCCTTTAGTGCTGCTTCTTCTTATTTTCTGGTTGTCTTATCCGTAGTTTGACATTTTTGGAATTATGCTTATTTGCCTTCTTGTTGAAAGTTAGATAAGAAGATTGATCCCACTCCCATGTCTGTAAGGTAAATATGAAGCTACAGCTAGCAGCTGGTTAGCTCAGCCTTAGCTCTGTCCAAAGGTACCAAAATCCACCAGCATCTTTAGGCAGATACATGTTTGCTGTGTCCCCCCTGTTTCCAATCAAGCTAAGCTAACCAGCTGCTGAGAGTTTCTTTCCCAAAATGTCAAATTATTCTTTTAAAAGCTGCTTCAGAGCAATGAGATTCATGTTAATATGAATGAAAACCTACACATTAAACACATAAATAAAGAATGTGTAAGATTTCAATCAGAAAATAACTCTGACGCCTAGTCTCTCAAAGTTGTTTCTCCTTTATTTAATGGGAGTAAGCCCAGGCTGTTGCACAAGAAATCATGGAAAAACAATCACAGCCTCACAGGCTCTTTTTTCAAGAGGCGACAGACTTTAAGCACCAACAAGCAGGATCCTGGGACCTCAGGACACCCGGCTACACTGTGGGTGCCCATAAGGTTTTGTAATTAAAGTCCATCCACTCAGAGAATGACTCACCCTCCAATTACTGTGTGGACACCTCAGATTAACTGTCTCTTTATTAACTTCAAATTACAAGTGGGGCCAGACCCATTCAACACCTTTCTACTGCTGTCAAGGCACCATATGAGGCTAATGTCGCTGTCATCTGGGAATTTATGAATGAGAGGAAAGTGGTTCATGATGAATAGGCTATTATCCATTGAAAGAGGTGAACATTTGCAATGAAAAATTTCTAGATATTTGGTTTATTTTCTGTGGGGTTATTGCCCTTTGAAGACTGACAGTAATTCAAATATGAACTCCAGTCTTTCCATTTGAAAGCAGGTCTATAACGGTATGAGCATGACTGACTGTATGTATGAAAGAAGACACTGACTCTGGACTATGTTTCATGTCAGAGATAAATTGTTTTCCGAAGATCCGGCACAATCTCCCGTAGTCTCCATAAAGCTGAGGATAGGGGAAAAACTAGTATTCAGAGTATAAGCACAATCCTCCTAAAAGCCACATCTTAAGATTTATTACTGCTAAGAGAAAGAGGCCTCTGTGTGTCAGCCAAGGAGAGCGTGAGGCAGCCTTCACTGTTTACCTGTCCACCTGTCTGGTGCAAAGACCTACCTGTAACTTCAGCAGAATCAGTTTTGTTAAAAATGGCATACAAGGGAGTGATAAAGTCTCTTATTTAAATTATCGTGAGTTAGCATACATAAAAGAAATCTTGTTAGGGGCTTTGGTGTCTGGTTTTGCCTTCAATCTCTGAGTTTAATCACATGTTTGGATCATTTCGTGGCTTCCTCCGTTTTCCCTTTCATCTCTTCTCCACACTCGGCAGCAGACTGCAAACGTCAGTGTTAGTAGCTACTGTTGCTAATAAATACAGAGGGCCTTCAGCCTTTATCCAGACGAAGACTCTCAGGAGAACTGGGCAAAAACAAATGACTTGTTTCAATGATGACAACTCACATGAAAAACTGCAGCTTACAGTCGTATACACTGATTTAGTCTCCACTGAGTGCAAATAAATTGTGTTGGGCACCAGCTCAATGTGTGCTTTATACTTCACATACCTGAAAGTCAGGCGCGCGGAGATATGTATAGGAACTGCTCTGTGACCGTTTGTGAGTCCCGTCCTGTCCTCTTCGTGTCGAGAGGATGTTGAGAGGTTGAACAGAATCACATCCAATCTGTCCAAGGACGACCTGCTGGGAAGGTCCCCGCTTAATTTGTCTTCCCGCTGCTCTGCGATTGGCCCTTTGCCATATTTTAAAGTGAATACGAACAGTCAAAATGTCTCTCTCTCTCACTGTCTCTCCTCCATCTCTCACTGTCGGTACATGGGGGAAAAGGCAAATGGTACAAAGGACGAAGCTTGTTGCAGTGAGGATATTGACAATGACGGGGCCACCAGTCATTGCATTAAAGCCAAAAGAATCTGAGAAAGGGCGCTTCCAGTGTGATGTTAAAATGTTTACTTTAAGCTCAGTGAGGTTTTCAGAATCCATTCTGCTTAATTCATGTGTGTCACTGGCACAAAAAAATGTCCTGACCACTGCTTTAGGAGTCTTTAAAAATGTGTGTTAATGTATACTGTAACAGATCGATAGAAGACCTTATCTTAAAGGTACAATGTGTAAACTTAAAGGCTCTATTGGCAGAAATGGAATATAATATCTAAAGTTTTTATGAGTGTATCACCTGAAAATAAGAATCGCTGTGTTTTCGTTAACATAGAATGAGCCTTTTTAAGAGGGAGCGGGTCCTCTTCCGAACACTGGCACTAGATAGGGCCTTCTACATTTTCGCCAGGTTTCACAGACAACATAGTTGTCCTACCCGCTTGGAAGGTTGAGCTTCACCACTAGATGCCACTAAATGCTACACTGACTCTTTAAATCAATCAAGTTTCATATAAAATATCACACTCGTATTAACAATCTGTGTATATTATCCAATCAGACTGATCTGTTTTATATCCCTTTATGCTTCGACCTTTACTGAATAACATCAAAACATTTTGTGCATTCAAATAATCTGCAGTTTAGCGAAACTCAATATCAACTTAAATGTTTTTTTTCACGGTTTTTAACCAGATGGACATTGCTTAGTCATCATGGAGATGGATAGATTGAAATGTGAGCTATAGGGGCTGAAAATGGTGATGTGCATTATGGACATGCTGAAAAACATTATATATGAAATATAAACAGCTGCTAGAAGACTGTAATATAGATGAAAACTCAGAAAACACCAGCATGTGTGGACCTTGATTAAGGATTGTTTTGTCAAACTACTATTTCCAAGGTCAAGAATAGACTGTGATGCTTCGTTTATTCAATGTTTCACCTCTGAAATGAGATATCACCACAAAAATGACATGTACCTTCACAAATAGTGCATAAAACAGAAGGTTATTAGTCATGAGTTGACTTTAAGGCCTCCAAACAAGAATAATCCCTGTTTATCTTTGTACGTTTTCTGAGTGTGTTGTAATGAAACACTTGATACTGAGTTGTACACAGAAGTAAGAGATGAGTCATCATTCCCCAGAGCAGTTAGTTAGTAAGCACATCAGGCACTCAGGGAGACAGACACAGTCAAGCACCTGATCATAAAGTGAAGGATCATGACACCACTAAGTGTGGTTTTATAAGTGCCCCATCATTAAGAATAAGTCATTTCAGTTAAAAATGAAAAAAATAAAAAATAAAGACAAGCTACAACAGGCTAGAGGTTAAATCAGAGGTCTGTGCTGCCATCTGCTGTTGATGTCTTTTCTTTTTCTTTTTTACCAAATTCATGGAAAAGATGATATATTATATATAGTCTGCTTTGTGTTTTATAGCAAAGTACCCTATTAGATTGCTTAAAATAATATATAGTTTACTTCAGAGTTCATGCTACTTTATATTCATACTCAACTACATTAGAGGGAAATATTGTACCTTGTACTGCAATATATTTATTTTCCAGCTTTAGCTACAGGGAACTGTAGATTTTAGGATTTTACATAAAAAAAACTATTATCAGTTTATGAAATATGATGCATTTTTTTGTTACTTGAATGCATCACTAACACAATAGTATACTGTAAAAGTGTAAAACTAAAATATATCAGCATGTTTAGCTGCTCCCTCTCAAAGTGGTACTTTATGTGCAGTTATTAGGTTTTCTCTCTCACAACCTTCAAGCTATCTAGTTCACACATGTTTGACTTTAGACTTCACCACAAGAATTATATAAAAAAACTATTATCAGTTTATGAAATATGATGCATTTTTTTGTTAATTGAATGCATCACTAACCCAATAGTATACTGTACAAAGTGGTAAACTAAAATATATCAGGCACTGTTTAGCTGCTCCCCTCGTCAAAACACGTGGCTACTTTATGTGCAGTTATTAGGTTTTCTCCCTCACAACCTTCAAGCTATCTAGTTCACACGTGTTTGACTTTAGACTTCACCACAAGAATAACGGTGTGGTTGTGCAGAAAAGTGCACTGTGTTACTCCTTCATATCAAGAAACAAAAGTCTCCCCTTGCAGTGTTTCTCAGTACAATGTATGTGGAGGAGGAGGAAGAGGAAGTGGTCTCCCATAACGTTGTCAAATGTAGGTGATCAAGGTAACTCTATGCAGCAGAGGAGCCAGGTGTCAGCAATCAACCGATGGCTGCCTGACTCATATAAAAGCAGTATTCTGTGTTTCAGTGTGTAGCTGCTGTCTCCACTTAAAAGAAGTGCAGAATACTGGTGAGTGTTAATTAGTTGGATGTGGTTTCTTCCCTTAAGGGGTTTATTATTTGTTAAATTTAATATTGTAAGTTGTTGGCTCTAATGTTTAAATATGTTCCAAGAGGCTGCTCTTAAAGCCATTTAACCTCATGACCCCAAAATCTGTAAAGGCCTTTATTTTAAGCAGTTGCTAAAGTTAAAATATATTAAATTACCTTTTAAAATGTGTCACTTTGTTTTACTGTGTAATCTGAGATAAATGATTTCTCACAACTCAGACTAAAGATGTCTGGCCGTGGTAAGAAAGCTGTACCCAAACCTTCAAAATCCTCAGTGTCCCGGTCTTCGAGAGCTGGGATCACTTTCCCGGTGGGCCGCATCCATAGGCTTCTGAGGAAAGGCAACTATTCCCAGCGAGTTGGCAATGGCGCTGCTGTTTACCTCTCAGCCGTCCTGGAATACCTGTGTGCTGAAATCCTGGAGCTGGCAGGAAACGCTTGCCGTGACAACAAGAAGCATCGCATCGCTCCTCGCCACATCTTGTTGGCAGTGAAAAATGACGAAGAGCTCAACAAACTGCTGGCAGGGGTCACGATCTCAGATGGTGGCGTCATCCCAAATATCCAGGCAAGCCTTCTACCCAAGAAGACCAAGGTGTCCAAGGATGACAGTACTGCTAAAGACCTTGAGTCTCAAGAGTTTTAATTGTGGATTTATCTTAGTTTTGCAAATTTTATCATAATAAAGTCTTATGTTTTTCAATGGTGTAATTTTTTGAATACTTGATACTGGAGCCAGGTACTACAATCTGTATTCTTTCTGGGAAAATTCTGTACTTCCAGTGCTCCATGTGTCCTGCGGCAGCTGGGAAAATTTCTCTGAATGCTACGGAAACGTGCTTCATTTCCTGCTTCCTGTAGCCAAGGAAATGTCATTCTTTTTGAGGAATATAGAGTGACGGCCGCTTTCTATCTTCTCTACAGGTCCACCACAAGTCCCATCTTTAAACCAGTCAAACACGCTCGTGCATGTGAGCTTAATGTGTACAGGTTGTAAATTTCAGGTCTACATTTTTCGCTTCTGTTTGCTCGACCTGTTCTGTAGATGTCGAACCATCCATACAATACTCCTAAAAAGTAAATCAGCCAATGAGGCTGGCAAACTGTTTAATGGACACTGCTAAAACCTTGACTGTAGCCCAAAAGGCTACCCTAGAATAAACTATTCAATCTCAACACCTTTTTGTTGGCAACTTAAACTGCTGAAGGTTTGTCTTCAACATTCATGATCTGCGAAAACAAGAACCTTAATCACACCACACTGGTAAGGCTCATGTCTTGTAGGGAAGAAATCTGCTAAATAGTCATATCCAAGATAACGGCACAGCCAAAAGTGCTCAGATAATTGTAATGTGTCACTTATTGCAGCAGGAGTTCTTCTGTAGCCTAATTTACATTTTAAATTGTTTGCTGAATTGTGAAAGTACATCATTTGATTGGCTAATGGTTGAAGTTCTTGCTGACAGCACTTGAACCTGAAATGCCTGACACTGTTTCCAATTAGCTTTAGAAATCTGTGACACAGGTCAGCAAAATGTTGACCCTGGCAGTGTTGTGTTCCCAAAGTGAAGGGTTTCCCATGTTTGAATTATAGTTGTACTTAAACTGTCTAAAGGACACAGCTTCATAGATATGTATTCATATGATACTTTTGCATATAAGTATTCAGCTGATCCCCTGACATTTCTAATGTAACGCAAACAACAAATGCTCCATTTAGTAGATATTTAGATCAAATTTATTATTGAGTTTTCAACATCCTTAATTCAAATTGTATACAGCGTGCCACATTTGTATTGTACAAATCTAGTTCAATCTTATTTTGCAGTACCACTTTAATCTGAGAATCATGCAATTTTAAAATTATAAACTTTAAAACCGAAAGTGTCCAGTAGCGCACAAATTATTAAAAATTTTAGAACAGTTGCATCCCATTTAAAGGACCCTGGGTTTTTTAAACCCCACTCAAACCAACATGCATATTGATTTTTAAAGATACTAATACTTGGAGATGGTGTACTGCGGAATTTATTATATGGGCTTATCTTTCCACTTAAGTGAGAACTCTCAAATTTACTGCAAAAACAATCAGATACCACAACAACAAAAAATAAACTTTTAAAAAAAAAAAAAATAATGTGTTTATGTATCAGGTCAATTATATCTTTTGGAGTTGAAAGATTACAATTGAAAAAAAACACTGTATTGGTTAATTACCTGTGTGCTGTAACATATATATATATATATGTAATGTATATTATATATTGTGTATTATATAATATTTGTATATTATATGTATTATATTATATTATATATTATATACCAGTATATTATCGTATGTATATATTGTTATATGATATGTAATATGATACTATATAATATATGTATATATATAATTATATGATATATATTCATATATGTATTATATAGGTATGTATATTATGATATATACTATGTATACGTATATAATCCCTAATAGTATATTGGTATTTCATTAATATATGTATACCTATCGTATATGTTATATAGTATATCAGGTTTGTATGTATAGTATATGAGTATACTATTATCAGTAATACTACTGTATATATATATTTATGTATATATATTATATGTACTATTTAGTATACTGCATTGTAGTATATACCCTATTAGTCGTATATACTTACTACGGTGTATAGGGCATAGTCACTGTATTGTCACCGGCTGTATATCTAGTCATTATGTATATACGTAATATACTACCACGTACCGTATACATCATATATATAATCACGCGCTATATACCTATGTATAGTAAATAGTTATGGTGTATTATATACACCTGTATATATACCTGATACTAGTATACCCTGAGGCTGCCAGTATGGGTAATAGTATCATATTTTATGTTTATCATACTTCACTACATATGTATGCTATACGCGTGTATATAGTACTGTATATATTATCTACTATGATATAATATATGTATAGACTATACTCTACTAATATATACTATATGATGTATGTATCATATATATATATGTATATATATTTATGGATAGTATAATTATAATACTGTATATATTACCTACTACCTTATATATATATATACTGTCAATAACTGTAACCTAACATTACCTCTTACCTCTTTTTTTTTTTTCCGCAACCCTCTGTAACACTGCGTCCGCTGAACGTACCCCTGTGACTAACGACGTGCTGACGTCAGACGTGTGGACAACAAACAGTTGTTGGGACTTCAACAAGCTAGCGGATGGGTCAAAAACAGGTCCGACCTACTCCTCCCGGATACGGAGACACCTACGAGACCCGTGCGGTCGGGATACCTTCATAAACTCGTAACAATTAGCACTACCAGCAGCCACAGGTGTAGGCACGGCACGGCACGGCACGGCGCTAACGTTAGCCACGGAAAACATGCCCATTGCTCGGAGTGTGACGCCTGCTGTATTTTTCTTGTATCCGGCTGCCGCTGGTCGAGGGTTGTGATGTGAGCCGAGTTACACCGCGACAGAGGGGGTGAGACCAGAGAGACACAGCCGGAAAATAGTGTTTGGCGTTTGTTTTTGTTGTTTTTCTTTTTTTTTCTTGACTCAGAAGAATGGACTTTGTCGGCGGCGGACCGACGGGCTCACGCAAAGCAGCGGGCATGCGACCGTACACGGGCCTGGATGTCATTGTTGGGCAACAACTTTAGCAACCCAGCTAACAGTGGCTCGCTCAATTTCATGCAGATGAATCGGTTTGGTGTCGGGCAGTGAGCTCAGTCTGCTAGTGTAATGGAGGCTCTTCAATTGACTGCCCCGGTGCTCTTTTTTTAACACTGCTGGCGATGTGCGGACGACCCACTGAGCATTTTTCCTCGGTTCCCATTTGGTTGGCAGGGATTTGTTAAGTGGTGGTAGTTGAGCAAAAAAAAAAAAAAAAAAGTTGCCCAGTTTGGCATATAAATAATTACTGAAACAGTATCTATTTCACATAGGTATCACGCGTTTCTTGTATTGGTATTTGTGTGAAATTGCACTTTAATAAGCTCATTTTTTAAGGCATGCGCCAAAGTCACCTGTGATTTGGGCGTTTGGGAAAGCTATACATCTTTAAAATCACCACCCCAGCACATCAAACCAGTCCAAAAAAATAGAGGTAACATTTTCTGATTGCACTTGAATATAAGTGAGTATATGAATATATCATTAAAGGACCAGGATAGGTGCACATCTACGTATATTGTTGTGAGACAGAGGCTAGAGACAGGCTTCTCCATGTCCGTTGGTTCCTAGTCACTGTTTAACTCAATATCTAGGCTGTCTGGCACAGTTAAAGACTGAGTTTTCACTGGAAATGAAAACATGAATATCGAAGAGCAGTGTCTAGATTTGTGCAATGTCAAGACAAAAAGCAACGTGGACGATGACCACAACACCACCAACAGCACAGAAGGGGTCACCCCCCGGATCTCTGAACTGATGACGGACAGCAACACAGAAAAACAAAACAGCGTTCCCACAGAGGCCTCTGAAACGTACCTGATGCCTCAGCTCACTGACAACCTTCAGGCAACTGAGGAGGACAACCACCAGGCACAAGACACACTGGAAATTGATGAGGTCAATGGAAATAGAAAAAGCAGTGCCCAAGACAGCCCTGCCGTGGTGAACCCCACTGACTTGATCTTCTCTAATGACGAGCAGCACAAGGGCGATATCGGGGTAGAGAAAATGAAGGACGAAAAGGACACTGAACCCGCAAAGTTTGTTGTGGGGGAAGGGGATGAAGGTGGGGACATGGACATAGGTGTGGACCTGAGCCTCGACGAGAGTGGGGTGTTGGAGGCTGAATCGACAAACGTCCCATCGCTCACAGACAATGCTTTTGACTCCACGTCTCAGGATGTCCCAGCCGACAGCGCGGCAGAGAGCCCGTCAGATGGCAGAAAGACGAGCATCACCGAGGCTGTTGCCACGGATCCGGCTGGACTGTACCCCACGGTGGAGGAAGGGGACGATAGACAGAAACAGAGTGGCAAGAGGGTGACTTTTCCATCAGATAAGGATATTGTGTCCGGCGCAGTGGAGCCCAAGGACCCCTGGAGGCATGGTAATACTGTGTGTTTGTTTCTGCATGCCTGTAGGTGTGAATGACTTTCTATTTATTCTTCTTGTCCGTTGTTCCTGCATGAACGTGTCCCTTTTTAACACGGTTTAGCAGGGTTTATTCTCGTAGGATATCTGGAAGGCCGTTATGTGCCCAGTCATAGTTCAGCGTTCCACGTGTAGTCGGTTTAAAACGTGATTTCGATGATGGCTGTTGATACGTACGCGAGAGGTGTGTTTTTAAGAGGAATGTTCTTTTGTGTCTTTCTTCTTTCTCTTGCACGGTCACGCTACAGTCCTTTTTAGTCCTCAGGCAGCACCTGAGCCCCTGCCCCTTTTTCAAACAGAGGTTTGTTTCTTAGTTAAATAGTCAAAAACATAATCACATAATCTGTCTTTTTGCACCAGCAGCTGAAGTTCACCTATATCTCAGTATAGGCCCACGCCTGTGCTGTGTGCCACAGTGTGCATGGATCCCACCACTCCTTGAGGTGTGCCATTTTACCAGTTAGGTTCCTGTTTGTTCAGTGAAAACATGTCCAAAGGAAGCTGGTGCAGGATATAGCACTGCCTTTACTGTGTTGATATAAGGAACTCCAGCTTTGCA